ACACCGGTAACCTCCTTGCCGTGAAGCTGACCCGTTCTTGGATGGCATGCAGGATGCGCCATTCGCAAACAGTGCTCAGATGCGGAAAACAGTGTATGGGATATCGGTTCGAGGAGACACGCAAACTTGATTCCTTTGGTGTTGGTTGCAGAGATGTACCCCTGTCCCAGAGACTATCGAGAACATGCCGGGTCTTGGCGTATCGATAAGCTTCTTGGTTGATCCAAGATCTGTTGTCCAGTCTTCTTCCTGGTTGATGATAGGGGCGTTGTAGTGAATGTCAGGAAATTCGAGAAGGACCGTGACAACGGCCACCTACCGCTGATAGCGCGTCCTTGCACCGACCGATCAGCACCCAGGCCGAACACCCCGGCAAGCAGCCTCCGGACAAAGAACCGGCGCATGTTGATGGCCCTGTTGATGGAGAGAAGCTGCATGAATAAGGAGGTCAAGCCTTCTTCTAGCTCCCGCCTGCCCCGTCCATATCGACCCCTTCCAAGATCAAAGTCTGGGGTGTGTTGGCGATGCCGAACTGGACCTCCTGCCAAGCCGAAATACTGAATACGAGACCGGCAAACTTGGGGACCAAAGAGTGCCAAACTGCATGTACGTGTGTGTGTGCATCGAGTGTTGATCTCACCATCCTTCGTGCCGGGCATATCACATCAATGCCGAGTCTCCTCCAACCGGCAGCCAGATTGGCTTGAAGGGTTGCATACCACGATAATTGGCCTCTCGTTTGCACCCGCTTCCGGTTTGTTTTCTTTGCTGTCCTTGCTGTCGTTGTGCTGCCTACACTGGCTGCATCTGTGTCGACGTCTACGTGCCTTAGCTCCTTCGCGGATGCTCAAGCTGCCGCCGCATCGTGGAGGCCGGTTTGACTTTGTCATGAAAACCCCCAACTGCCGTGGAGAACATCGTCACGGCTCGGCGTTTGTTGGCGTGGGCGTGCAGCATGCACCCACCAAAGCGATGGCACCACGTCGAAAAGCCCTGCATCGAAAAGCCCTCTCAAAGCCCCTGTTGAGGTGTGATCGTGCGCGTCTGTTTCGACGTCTGGAGACGCGGGTGCCATATCCGGTACGTCCGTCTGTAGAGTATCCTGCAGCGCGGCAGAACAGAAGGGCTCTGGAAAACGGCAAGACACTTCTTCAACCTTTGAGTGGATAGCGTGAAGGCTTTCCCGGCTCCCCAGCCCTGAGATAGATGCTTCTGGCTTGCAGACAGCAAAGCAAAGCATGATGATCTGTCTCGAGTGTTGGCAATAATTCGTCTGTAGCATGTTGAAATGGGAGGTTGGAGCTCTGCTTTTCTCCGCACGAATCAACAAGCGTGGCTGTCGGACGCTTTTCCCACCCCCTCTTTCCTGCCTCTGCACCATCCAAACACACCTGCCCCTCACCACCCCAATGTTTAGCATCGCACACCGAGAAAAACGAAGGGCTCTGAGTGGCCGGACAGCGAGATGCTGACCTTGAGTTCATGTGGCCAACCCGATCCAGCGGCGTCTTAGCGCAACTGACAGGTTTCGTTACGACACAAACCACGAGGTCAGAAGTGTCCAGAACGTCATCCCTGGAAAGCTTCACCGAAGCTGTACCTCGAACCGAGGACAACCGCCGTCGTCGCCCAACAACGGGTCTACAGAGCATCACCACGCAGCTCGACAGCGACGTCATACAGTGTAGAAAGAACAAAAGAAAAAAAGCTCCCTCAGTGACACCCCACCATCTCGTCCTTGGGCTTCTGGATGTCTGAACCTCCGACAGAGGCGCAGGACGCAGGTATGTATAATTTTCCATGCAAGAAAGTTGCAGCATCTTCAACCAGCCCGCCCTCTCTTTGAGCCGTAGGTGCAGCAGACGCAGGTCCAACTCGAAAAGGTTTGGCGCGGCTCTGTACTGTATCTTGAGGGAGGGGGCGTGGGGGTAGAGGAAAGGGGGTGAAAGGTCTCTTGCTGGGCTCACCTCTCGGGCGTGCGTGTGTACTTTGCGGAGGCCCGTCTGTGCGAAAAGGGACCATTCGTAGCGGGGTTCTGGGGAAGCGTATCGTCGTGAAGCATCATTCCGGGGTCGAGTCTCCAGAACCACCATCTGGATCGAGCATTAGCGGCTCCAGGGCGAATGCACCCGGACGATTCAGTCAATGCCGTCTCGCTCTTAGCACCGGAGAGAGGCAGGCTGCTCCACCCATCTCGAGGTGTGGCCGGGGACGGAGGTGCCACGGATCATCAGGTTTTGGATGCGTTTGCAAGAAACAAGATCGGGACGCTTCCCGAAACAGCTGCTTGGCGAGCAACAGTGCCATGAAGAAGATGTCGTATATGTTCCGCTGTAGAATCACCCCAGTCCTGATTAGCGGTTATGTCATGGCGGGTGGGAGATCGAGCTCCGCTTAAACTCACCTGCTTGGCCAAGCTGTCGATGGTAGGTGAAAGGAGGATCATCCTTGCTGAAGGCGGACCATCGAGATGTTATTGCTCGCATACTAGCTGATTGGTGAAATTAGATCGTCCGTGGTCTGGAGATTCAGTCGGCAATGATTGCTTGCTGATACCGGCAATGGCAATTGATAGCCTTTGATATCCAGAGGTAGCATGTGGTGTTGCTTTCATGATGAACGAAGAGGCCGAACCCCGAACTTTTGTGCGGAAATTTGCGTGCTTGCCCACGGCTCAGCCGAGATGTGTCAATCCCATCCCACGAAGGCGAGAGGGTTTTTGGTCGAAAGAGGCAGGAACCATGCTTGAAGGAGAGATGCCTGCAGGTGGCAGTGTGGGCGTGGAACGCGCGAGGAGGGCGAGAAGCGGGATAATTGCAACCTCGTGTGCATGGCGCCCAGAAAGAGAGGCTTCCTATTTCTGTCAGTCTGAAAATTCATTCATGATCATGCTTCATATTTCAAATTCCTGCTTTTTTCCGGTCTTCCTGGACTGCGTAACATATCCAACCAATCAAACTGTAAGATATATGTCGAAGAAACAAGCTGTGCCTGACAGGCCGGGCAGCTGGCCGAGCCAGTCAGCCAGTATGTAGGTATATCTGCGAGCCAAGAAGACCGAGCAGTGTGTTGAATAGAAGCAGGTACGGGCACGCTTTCCCTGACATGTCCGGTGACGTAAGGTATGGGTCGCTGTCAGGAACTGTACGGTACATTGAATGTCCGTCAGTAGTACCAAAACTGGGCATAGAATCGGTTGGCTTGGTTCCATGGGGCCTCAAAGTCACCTGTCCTTCTGAATGAGCTGCTCGGTGGTCAATTCGAGATTGTGCGTGGTCTCCACTCTGTTTACGAATGGCTGGAGTGTCAATATTCCCTATCTCGATCTCGCTCAATTAGCTTTGTCAACAGACCATAACGATACATCGTCAAGGGTTCCCTGACAATAACTTCACTTGATTCGGTCAGAGGGACACAGCGGCTCTTGTCCAGGGCGGGGTTGGTCATTGGATATACCTCGAAGAATGGCTGTGTTGCAGTGGCCGTTCCGTGCTTTCAAACCTTATAGAAGCGAGCTTTGTGTTCTGAAGGCTCGTCAGGAGACGAGAACGATGTGGCATCGTAAATCTGCCCGGTGGAAGGGCCTGGTTTGTCGTCTTCTTAATCGGTCTCGATGCATCATGCAACACCAGATCGGCCTATCAGGAACCCTGGAAAGAGCCTCGGGTCTTGGGACGTGGGCTGTCCACATAAGAGTCCCGGGGCTGCTGTCAGCCAACCTGGAATCGAGGACAGGCGCATGTGGCGGCGACCAGGGAGATGTCCCCAGGTTACTTTCGGTGCGTGATGCATGTTGTACGCCGAGCTGGCTGCTGCTTGGGGGGCAAGCGGGACGTGGGCGTGTGCAGTTCAAGCGCGAGTCCTCCTTGGACCATCGAGGGCCGAATGCCGTGTCACCCCATGTCTTTCCTCGCCTACTACAAGGCCAAGCATCGACATGGGCAGGCATCACGTTGCGGCCAGGTCGGTGTGTTTCCAAAGCGATGCGCAGATGTCGTGCATTGGTTTGGTTAAGGTTAGTCTGCTGTGCTACCTGACCTTGGTGAAGATCGCCAGTGTGAAAGGTCCCTGGTAGCCAGATTGGGAAGACTGCCCTCTCTTGATTGGTCCGTTGGCTTTCTTATACCAGCTGGCACCGAATCAACATCCAGCTTTGCGCAAGCTATGAAAAAGACAGGCAGTATCGACAAACATATAGAGGCCAATAACTTTTTTTTGCCATTGGATACCAGAGCAATCGTCTCCGTCAGTCTATCTATCTCTAACGGACACCATTCTAATTCTCTTGTGTATGTCCTCTTGCCGTCCCAGTGGGTGAGAGGTTTTCTCTTTGACCCATATACCAACCAAGCCCCCAGACCTGTTCCCTGCCTATTAAAGAGCGAGTGCCCATTCCGAAGCCTCGCTCCCTGCCAACACAAACCTCGTGTGTTCCATGCCGGCGACCCTTGAAATACCATTACGATTTTGACCCTGGAGACCCGTTTCCCACCATGAACCGTCCTAGCCACAATGGGCACCAAAATGAAGAGAGATGAAATCGGAGAAAAAAGAAAAAAACAAAAAGACGAGAAAAAAAACTCGTGAAACAAAACATGAGCCTGAAAAAAAAAAGAGAAAAAAAAAGAACAAATCTCAAACTTTTCCTCGTCGCCGCGGACCAACCCCCGTTTTTGTTGTTGTGATGAATCGTAAGTGATGCGCCCTCGAACAACCTCTTGAGAAAGAAAACGAGCCGCAGGGGGGGTGAGAAGAACCCAAAACCCAAAAACCAATCCCGTCCGGGATAAAGGAGTCCTGTTGACCTCAATCCCATGCCCTTATATTCCTGACCCCCCGACCGTCCTGATACCCAAAAAATGAAATTCGTAGCATCCCAAACCATTCGGCCACATGAATCGTGATATTAATGCACTGGCGAGACGGCTTCGTTTTTGGAGGTCGTCCCAACCGCCCGTGCTGCTTTCCCCTTCCCCAGCGTCGGTGTTGCGCCGTGAATGTTACAACACTTCGTCCACCATGCACCCGCTAAACTCGTGCTTCTGCGCCAGATAGGAAGCCCGGCGGGCTTGGGAGGTGGCCGTGTGCCGCACCGACTCGAGAAGATCTGGCCCGCCCGGCATGGCCATGGCCTGGCTGCGGACCGGCTTCTCTTGGAGACGGAACTGGTTGTGCTCGTCACCATCCTCACGACTGCCCCACGACGTCTGCTTGAGCGTAAACAGCGCATACAGCTTGATGAACCCGTGGAACCAACCGAACAGAATGGACACGGGCAGGAACATGATGTCACTCGGATTCCTGCGGAACAGCCCAACCAGTTTTACCACTTTCGTGAAGCAAAACATGAATATTATTTCTGCAGCGAGTAGGATATAGCGGCTCCTGAGCTCCCAGTTCTCCGTCGCCCACCAGCACGAGAAGAGCAGAAGGGGATCGACGACAAAGGCAAGCGAAGTAAACGTTGCGATATGAAGCGCATATGTGCACCAAAGTTGCTGACTGTTGTTGTGGGGGGCTTGAGTCAGTTTGGGATGTGAAGAGATAAAAGGGGGGTGTTGTCATACGTAAGCACGTGTCTTTCATGCACAAGACTGGTCCAGTTGCTCCTCCAATTGCTTCTCGCCCAGCGGGAACACTGATATAAGAACTTGAAGCCGTTTTCGAGCGTCGTCTCAATCTCACATTCGTTTTCGTACTGGATCCAGGTCTTCCACTTTTGGGCCACAAGCCATCGTGTCACGTAGTTGTCGTCGTCCGCATTCAGGATGTATTTGCCCCATTTTTCATTCTTGAACCCGCCCAAAAAGTCGTAGCTCTTGAGAATCTCGGTTCGGTAGGCACCAGTGCGCCCCGACATGCAAGAGGTCCCGCCGTCAATATTGTGGGTCGCTGAGATTTCAAAATTCCTCCTCTCAATGTAGGCTGCGCCGAGCCAATTGAAGATGCGCGTTGTCAAGTCACCACCCACCCGCTTCACTCTCTGGCACGTGCCAACTCCACCCATCCTGTCGTCCTCGAACGGCGCCAGTAGCCAGGGCATGAGAGTCGACGGCCATTCTACGTCGTCATCAGCCATAACCGTGATGGGAGTCTGAACATGATCCCCCTCGAGCGCCCTGCACACCTGCAGCCGCTTGTTGGCCTTGTCGACGTGCAGAACCTCGATGACGGTCGGGTGTGTGCTGTTCACCCCACGGAGGGCGGAAGCAGCCTCTTCCAGCGCATTGTGTTTCTTGTAGGTGGTGACCAGAATCAGTTTGGCGGGTCTGCAGGCAAGGATGCTTTCCAGGGACGGCTGAAGCTCTTGCGGACGGTTGTGAATTGTTGGGATAATAACTGTGACATCGTTTGATGTGTATCTCGGTTTCTCCCAGTTCGGAACTATGGATTTGTATGTCCAGTGGCTGATGCAGTGGACAATCAGGCGGACATAACGATGAAGCCTGGAATTGTGCCGAGTCAGCTCCTGCAGGAGTCAAAAAAGAAAAAAAAAAAGAAAAAAGAATAGTGGCATGTCAACCTACCAGAGGATTGTGTGGAAAATGGCCCAAAACTTCACAGACCAGAGGAAATCTAGCCTTGGAATTAGGAGATCCATAAGCTCAGGCATGCTGGTTTTTTGAAGCGAGTGAGATCCAGACAGGAGACGGGGGATTCTTGGCTGCTTTTATATAGGCAGACCAAGTCCGGTCTGGTTTTGAAGGTTTGGTGACAGGTCTCGCCAAGCTGCGTGATCGAGGTGGGTGGTAGGGCAATGTTTCGTTTTAGAACGTCGAGGTTTCAGCAACAAGGCCGGGGCGGAGCCCAGTCGGGAGGGAAGCGGGAGAAGAGCGGGTGGTGGAGACCGAGAAACGGCACGGCCGTGTCATGAACGTCGAGGGGTTGTAGGGGAGAGATTCGAGCTTTCTCCAGCCTTGAAGGTTTTGCTCTCGGGCGGTAGGAGCCTGCCCGTGTTCTGGGACAGCGACTGAAATCAAACAAAACGACCGGCACAGGCGAGTCCCGCTGGCACAACAAGGTTGTTGTTGCCGTCGACGAGGATGCCCAAGATAGTATACACACAAGACGGGGTAACGTCAAGGAAACAAAGCCATGGCATGAACCAATTGGCCTCTTGGAAGAAGACAAGGACAAAAAAGCAAAGACGCGGCGGGAAGACATCCCCGGGTCTAGGCTCGGGGAGGGAGTGCCGGCATATATAGCCAGAGGGGGGGAGAACGAGAAGAAGCGAGGCAGGAGGAGACTGGCGACGCATCAGGGACGTGGTACTCTCTGTCAACTTTGACAGAGCTTCCTTGACAAGGAAGAGGAACAAATGAGAAGGCGAGATTTTTTTGCTCAGAGGAGTGGCAGCAGCAAGAGAGATGGAGGGTACCGTCCATGTACTGGGCGTCGGCAACTGCCCGGCAGGAGCCCATGCAGAAAGGTACTCGGTCCACGATGGAGGTGGAAGCCAATCTTGGAGGCAATACTTAGTTGCAGCAGATACCCCCGTACATCGTACCTCGTAGGGTATTAGCTGCTCAAGCGGACTGGAAGGGGGCTTTGGTTTTGTTGCGCACCCTCGACGTGAAGTGGAACGCCAGACAAAGACAACAAGGTGCACAACTGCAGAACCCATGCACATTAGAAAAACGACCCATAGCTGCAATTGCTTTGGTAGTTTTTTGTAGCCAGCCAAGCGTGCCGGTACCAGCCAAGGGGGGGTGTACCTAGAGTGATGGCCTGCCAGGGGGGGTGTTGAGGCAAGGGCCCTTTTTGGGGGTATTGCTGCATGCTGGAGAGGGGGGGTGCAGCCGTGAGGAATGGATGCCACCGGGGGTTTAACCCCAAGAAGTGATTTTTGAAATTTTATTCGAATGCTTTTAGAGTGCGCCAGAAGCGGGCCCATGCGTAGTGATATGTTTCCATGGCTGTACATTCTGTCCTCAATCTCACGCTTCAGAGATATCGTTCTGTTTTGGCCTTTGGCGAACGTCGAAACTTTTGCCATTGGTGACATGGGTTAAAGGGACGGAGCGTTGCCAAGCCAAGCTCCCTGAGGTCTGGACACGCTGCAGCACCCCGCCAAAATCGCCGAGCTTGCGCGAGCGAGGGGTGATTTTGAGGCTTTAAAAAAATGGGCTGGACGGGGATGTGGAGGCGTGATCCACCAGAGATTCCGTCAAGAGCACATGTACACTCTGGTACTGGGCCGTACAAAATGCGTGGGCAGGCTGCTGTTCTTCTTGACCAGTAGCAGTCAGCGGGGGAGTACACTTGGATCGCCGCGCCTGTCCATCCCCAGCAACGGGGGGGAGAGAGAGGCACGCGCTGGTTGTGGTGAGAGCTCTCCACCGTCAGCGCTTGCGCCTAACAAGTCTGCGCTTGCTGTTAGAGCACAGCATGTGGCCAATGAGCGCCCCGCCGTGGGCCAGACCCTCTATCTTCCTTTGGCAATCAACTCGCTGTGATAATCAGAGGCCTGCTGCTGTGTTGGCGGCTGCTAGAGATACCTATCACATGGCGGAGGGACTCGGAATGCGGCCATTGGCGTGAGTTCTGTCCGCTGTTGAGCAATCATATTCGGAGCTGGTTGCTCCACACCGGCCAAGGTTCAATCGACAACCGGGTTGTGGGCGATCGATCTCCCGGCCTTCTCGGCAATGACCGGCTTGCACTTTGTTGCTGATGGCCTTGTTCAATGGATAGAGCCGGCAATCTTGTTGGTGAAAGCTCGCGTTCGCTGTGAACACAGGTTGGAGGTTCATATGTCATTAGTCATTTGCGGAGCGCAGGAAATCCGACGTTGACAAGCGACGAATCATCGAATCATCAGATGAACACCGCGGCTCCAGGTGTGGAGGTCTGGAACGGAGAACCGTTTGTTTTCTGGAGTACTTGGCGTTCCTTTGACGATCCACCCCACGGTCTCTACAACGCTGGTGTTGCAGTCGACATCCAATCCGTCGGCGGTGATGAAATTACCTGCCCGGAATGCACACCTGGGGGAGCACGGCGAGGGACGGGGCCGGAAAGACTCGAAACGACATGCTGCCGGCCTTGGATATGTATGGCACGGGCCCGACATGGTGAAGGGACATTGGTGCTGGAGATTCAACGTTATCGACTACCTCTTTGGGAACCGGCCTCGGGCGAAAGCCTTTGATGGGCGGGGGAGAGCGGGTACAAATTAGGTCAAACAGGGTCTACTCCTTGTCCGAGATGGGTCCTAAACCCTACCGTCTTCAAGGATGTCATCGAGGGTGGTCCAACGGGAGCCCACTTGGCCGTGAACGGAGAACGGTCGAGCCGGCGATCCATTGCTCCGCCAATTTTGGCAATACGGAAGCACGGGCCACAACATCATCCCGTCGTTAAAGAGGTAGGTCCCCTTCAAAGCACCCTCGGTTGTCGGGATAACCCACGCAGCGAGATGTGGCTTCATCATATCATCCATCTTTGCGTTGGCGTGCTGGCAGGCGATGTTTGACGTGGGTGTCGTTAGGGCAGCCGACTATAGTGACGACAGTTGACGTGGGCTTCGTTTCGTCCTGTCTTTGTGGATGGGGGCGGGTCCATACTGAGGGTGAAAGCCCCAACAAGTGTCGATGGCCATCTCTCATGCAGGTACGAAGTGCCCGGCCACTGCCGTGATGACGGAAAGACACCTTGCATCCGAACAAGATCTTGAGCGGTCCGCGTATGCTGGCGGCCGTGTAGACTAATCGGGGTCGAGCAGATGCGCCCCCTGTTGTATAAACGGCTGCCACCCGAAACGCTGCTAGTAAGGATTGGTTTGCACCTCATAGTTGACATGCTTCAATTCGGTCAAGGCCGTCCTGCCATGCCTCGGTGAGAACAAGGCCTGGTTTAGGGCTGGCTTCGTCATGCGCTGTCAATAACATTCTGCGACGATACCGCGTGTCGACGATCAAGTTTTGAGCCTGGTGAACTCTTTGATTTGAGCATAGCCCCTGTTATGACCCGCAGCGCTTGCCAACTATGGACATCGGGATCAAACTATGCCCCTGCTCAGAGCAAATGCCGTGCAGAAGAGACAGAAGAAAAGAGTAGGCCGAAGATCTTCAGGTCCGTAAACGACGAAGGTGGTTGCACGATATCTGTGATGTTGACGAACCGTGGCTCTCCTGGTTGGCGAGAAGAAAAAGACACATCTTTCTGCTCAGGAGACAGTTGCTGGCGTGTTCAATGTTCGGGTTCGGTACGCGAGAGACTGTTGTTTCACCACGTCTCGCTCAGGGACGTCGTCAAATTCGACCGCCCTACACGGGCCGCCATGTGGACCAGACGTCACAACGGCCGAGGAGAATTCGGGCCCCTACAGGCCGGGGGAGTCGAGCCTGACCGAAGCCGAGTGCTGCTGAGCCTCCGCAAAGTTGTTGCTCTCAGGGGCAGCATCCACTCGTAGAAAGGATCAGGATCAGGTCATTGTCTCATCCCTGAAGACATCAGAGTGGCAGTGAGTGGCAGCATCATGGAATTCGAGTCCAAAGCGTCGGACTGGGGTGCCGGCCAATGTCCAGTCTCGAGCAGAAGAGCCGAGTTTGGATGGCCAAGTGTCAACCAGTCGGCTGAGCCACATAGGTATAACTACTCTGCTGGGTGTGATGTAGGTGCAAATATAGCACTACATTTGTCGCATATATGATAAATCTCAAGACAAGGTCTAATGGTGTGTACATACCTTGGTGAAGCTGGTGACTGTGTTTTGTCAGGTGGGCCCACCTGGCACAACTCATGTCGCAATCCAACGGAGCGTCCCGTTCGTTGCCGTTCAATGGCGTCGAAGCAGGCGCCACATCGTTGGCGATCCGGAAGGGCGCTCACCGGCGGCGAACTTTCTTATTCCCCCCATAGTTCGCGATGTGTGACCTAACGGATTGCGTGACGATCTCCCGAGTGAAGACGACTTGCTACACGCATCCCCACAAAGCTGGAAAACATCCCGCGCCGTCTCTCTGACGATGAATAAATTAGAGGTATGTGGTGTGTATATGAGTTGGGGTATGTGGGGATGAGGTTGCGGCCAGCGATATGCCAAGAACCATCCCGCACTCACCCAACGTCTCTCCTTTCCCATCCACCGTCTCCCAGTAGACACATGTACTTTCTGTGACTTGTACAAACTGCTATGGTGCTGGCGTATCTAATTCGGGCTTGTCATGACGGCGTTTCCGCGAGACGGGATGCGTTTTGAAGCGTTGGCACACATAGATATCGTGATGCCTTGCTGATAAGAAATTTGTAAAAATAACAAGGCTGCAACTCCTTCTGCAGCTAAAACCCAAGTGTTACATCAAGAGGACAAGAAACACTTGGATATTGTGGGAGCAAATAATTCTTTCGGGCACTCAGTCAGAAGTTAGTTTAAAGTGCTCTTCCACTCTGCCGGCCCGGTTATTAGGGTTCGCTGAGTGTCTGCGGGCTGAGTGGTCTGTGCTGCCTGCCTGTTCTGGTGAACTCGGGACGGAAGGCAGTCGCGAATAGGTAGGTTCACTGACGTGGGATGATTGAGTACCTACCTAGGTACTTTACTTCGGTTCTTCAGAAAAAGCAACGACAAGGCCTTCTAGAATGCACACCCTGCTATCTCGCACTTCTATTTCC